ATGCTTAAAAGTTAAAGTGACAAATAAACAAGAATGGAGGGAATAACTATAATCTTTTTGGTCCATAATAGTAGTCTTTATTTTACAAAAAAATAAAATAAAATTTATCTTCAATTATTTGTTTGAGAAAAAAATTTAAAACAAAAATTATTATTGTATGTGAAAAATTGTTGTGAAATTTGAATTGCATTATATCTATATATATATATAATGCTGCCCTATGCATTAAATAGGGTAGCATTTTATATATATTTAATATATAATAATAATATAATAATATATATTTATTAGTTATTATATAATTATTATAGATAATTAAATATATATTTAATATATAATAATATATATTTATTATATATTTATTATTATATAATAATAATATATAGTTATAATTTTTTCTAACCTTTTCGTTTTCTTTTTCTTTATGTATAATACCCTTTTATCTTCCTACTCACCTATATATAAACCCTCACTTTTCTCTACACTAATATATTATATTCTTCTCTTTATCTCTTCAATTTTATTTTATTAATATGATGAGTTCCAATTTTATCTTTTCATATTCTTTGTCTTTTACTTCTTATCTTTATATTTTTAATTATTTTATCATTATGAGTTTTCATTATATACATAATATAATGTAATATAATGCGTTAAAATGAAATAAGATGAATGGATGCTTAAAACAAAAATTATTATTGTATGTGAAAAATTGTTGTGAAATTTGAATTGCATTATATTACACAACTAAAATCATGGATGGAAGATGACTTCTAAAATTAGGCATGCTCCTCCCATCTAACAGTTTTTGTTTCACAATTTAATCTAGTTTAAATTGTCAAATAAGATTCTCTATTATAGGTAAAGATAGTATTGTGATTAATTTATATGTGATTGAAGAAAATTAAAATGTTCTAATAATTTAAATATCAAAAATGATAATAAAAAAATTTAAATATTTTTAATAAATCAACAAATAAAAAAGATTCATTAAGAGCATTTAAATAATTTCATAAATAATTTTGACATTTTAAATGCCACAACATTTTAATTTTTACTTTCCTAA